CGGAGACGGGCGGGGGGGGGGGGGGAAGAGTTTTGACATTTTTCTATACTGTAGTAGGTACTTACGGTACGATTACGATTACGGTTACGGTTACGGTTACGGTACCTACCTAGTAAGTAAGTAAGTGGGTAAGTAAGGTAAGTAAGTAAGTAAGTAAGTGGGTAAGTAAGTAAAGTGGTATTTGTACATCATACACAACATCATACACACAGGACATCACACACAGGACATCACACACAACATCACACCAAACACGCAAGGAAATACGCGCGCGCGCGAGGGATTCCTGTTTCCCGTGCGAGCACTGCTTGCTTGCTTGCTTGCTGCTATTTCTTTAATTCTCGGCTTGATTCGGCTTGACTCGACTCGGCCCTCGACTGTCCTGTACTGTCCTGTACTGTACTGTACTGTATTGTATTGTAGGTACTTAAGAGTGGCTCAAGCAAGGCAGGCAGGCAGGGCAGGGGCAAACAGGGCTGACGAGCAGCGGGACTCATTCCTGTTTCTCATTCTCATTCTCGTTCTCGTTCCTGTATGTATGCGTGCGTTTGTATGTATGTATGTATGTATGTATGTATGTATGTATGTATGTATGTATGCGTGCCTTTGTGCGTGCCTTTGTGCGTGCCTTTGTGTATTGTGTATGGGATATGTGTATGGGATATGTGTGTGTGACATGTGTGTGTGACATGTGCATTACTATGTATCTATCTATATATGTGTAGTATATATATCCATATATCCATATATATCCACACACACACACGCCCACACGCACACACACACATGCACACACATCCCCGTTTCCGTTTGATCGCCCGCCCGCCGGCTCTGAGACCGCGTGGCTGCCGATCACAGTGTGCGTACCAGCGTACCAGCGTGCCTGCCTGCCCTGGGGATTTTGGTCGGCGCCGGCTTGCTGGCTTGCTAGTTGCGGAAGTACCGGTTAGGTGCGTACCTAGGGAGGTCGAGGTCGAGGGCGCTTTGGGGGCTGGCAGCCCAGCTCAGCGCCACAGGTCACGCACGACTCGCTTCAGAAGATCATGGGGAGCGGGAAGGGGCGTTCCCAAAGGGTGTGTGTAAGTGTGTGTGTCTTTCGGTCTACTACGGTATTTACTGGTGGGTTTTCAGGAGTCGCGTTTAGGACCTGATTGCGCGACTCGTTCTTCTTCATCTTCTTCATCTTCTTCTTCCTCTTCTTCTTCCTCTTCTTCTTCGCTCGTGACACACAAACACAGCCAACCACGATACTCTCTCTCTCTCTCTCTCTCTCTCTCTCTCTCTCTCTC